GGGGGGGGGGGGGGGGGCATAGATGTGATACTGTCTTTGAGGAAAGAGTGTCACTTAAATCATAGGCAATAGAAAAAACTCTGGTCTGGAAGCCAATTAAAAATACTTACTTTCAAGAAACATTTCTCAAACACTAAAAAAAGATGATAGCTGATTAAATGTGGATGCAAAAATGTTGAATCTGATTACTCTATTCTTTTTTCATCTATCAACTTTTCAACTAATACTAATGTCTCTTCGTTGAATACTTTTGTTCTGTCCAAACAGAGACCGAGATACAACTTTTTGTTTCTTTTTGGAATGGGGGGGGGGCGGGGGTGGTTGTGAAGCCCTGATTAATAAGTGTAGCAACAGCCAAATTTTGGAAAATAAAAGTTTTTTCTTATGCTATTACGTTTTTTGGGGGCAAGGCTCCCCGCCCCCCCCCCCGTTATCTCGGTCCTTGGTCCAAAATGTTGATGGCGAGGGCACCTTGTTGTATGTCCTTCGTGTATACCTCTAACAATTTTTTCACAAGTTTGGACACACCCTATTTTGACTCTTCGAGCTTCAACCAGACCTGTATCAGCAACGTACTCGACTTCATCAATGTTCCACGAAGGCTTGTATTTTTGTTTCAAAACTCTTATCAGGTTTAGACAGGACATTTAGGATTGCAATGCTTAAGGCCCTTACTTCGCTTGAACATACTACAAAATGTGATCTTTCCTTTTTTAATTGGTAATGGTTCTCGCCAGGCGCGTAGCGGATGTTTGACGTTCAGGGGGGCTAAGCATGGATCTTCCCCAAAAATCGTTCCTTTATAGAGATGCAACTGTCCGAATGGAGCCGGAAATGTGACAATTTACTCTGAGAAGGGGAGCTGCAACTAACCCAGCCCATTTTCCCTACGCCGACATTCTTGAGAAACATTCAAAAATTACCAAAATTCTCGAGAAACATTCAGAACTCAACAACAATCCTATACACATGTTTTCACGCGTCCCCTTACTTAGATCACGTTATTGCAATCAACACGCACAAAGAGTTAGAACAAAAGGTTTCAAGACCAGAGTTTTTTCTATTGACTATGCTTAAATGCAACATATGGCAAAAATCTGCAAAAGACCTTATTTCATTGAAAAATAGCAAGTTACTGTGTCAGGCACAGCTATCAGCAAGCAGCCTGTACAATAAGAAGCTCGTATTTACTATCAACCTGTGACCTACAATCACCGCCATAAGATACGACTTTAGCCACTAACGTCAAAACTAAGGGGGTTAATTGACCCATTAAGTCATCTCCTAATCGAAACAATAATGGTTTAAATAAAATAACGTTGGAGATTAGGAAGTACATGTTTTCAGGTGAAATGGAGTACATGTTTGTACGATATTTGCCTAACAGCATTGCTCTTAGGGAGGGGGTTAGAAGAAACAGTATTTAGAAAGCAATGAAAATATATAAAACAAGAATCCGGTTGATGGGAGTTCTAGGAAAAATTTGAAAATTCAGTTTCAGGAAACGTTTGGCAAAAATTTGAGTTTGTCTTAAATTTTTTTGACTGACTTCATTTTCACAATAATCTCTCAGTTTTCATGCAAAATCAACATCTTATACACAATAAAACTAGAAAATTTGATGTCTCAAATTCATTTTATCGATTTTTTTCAAAGTTGAGTCTAATGATATTTATAATTGTCGTTACTAATTTATTCATACATATTTAGAAATAAATGCAGAGAAAAGATAAGACAAAAAGACAAATAGATAATTTTCACTGTGATTAATTAACATAGTTACATATATTTTCATATTTAATTCAATCATAAATTAACCGCAAGGGTGATAATTACAATAACTAAACTCTATGGGTGCTTTATCAAGCTCTATTTTTGAAATTAATGGTGCTATGCACATTTATAAGCACTTTAAACATACATATATACAATTAAATAAACGTATTTTTCTTTACATCATTTGTGCCATTCGGTAGCAACTTCTACACAAACTTTCAATACCTTTTATATTATCCTTGGTATGTTCTATCTAAATCAATACTAGTCTTGAATAACTGGGATTCTGGCGTTATGAACTCTACAAGTCGATCAGAGACAGAATAGATAACTGGCTCGTTGCGTTAGGAAAGGGTAATGAAAGAAAAACAGGAATATGATTGTTGAATTAAAACTGAAAATGTAAGAACATAACGACGAGTTTAACTCTAGGCCTCAATGTTTCAAAATCAACATGTGACACCGTACTTGCTTGAAATGAAATCCTATTAGCTCTGTAATGATCAACTGACACGAGTATTGTGAAGTTGACGGACGATACAAGATTCTTGTAGCAAAAATCTATAAATTATTATTTTTTGAAATTTTGTATTCTGGTGTCTTCAGATTCAGAATAACCTCCAATGAGGGCAGGAATGATTATGGTAACTTTTTGCATTTGGGTATGACCAACGGGAGGGGGAGAAATAAATGATAGATAGAATCGAGCAAAGATTGCCAAGTAATTTCACATTTAACTTTTCAATTGATAAGATTTATTTCAGAGCAAAGGTGACCTTCTTTGGACGTCGCCTTGCTTGCACTAATTTTGTGAGTCAACACGATAACAACTTCAAATGCAAATAGAATTCGAGCCTAGGAGAAAATCATAATCCAAAGCCTATTAAAAATAAACAACATATTTTTCTTTTTAAGAACAAAGCCAGAAGTCTTTTAAAGTAAAAGATATATACATTTTCACTTCAAAGGTAGATGCAATCAAGTACTTTGCTGTGATCCACACTTTTGCGAGTTAGGGATACATTTATGCGAGTGACGAACCAGACTTTCTATTGGACGAACAAGACTAGCAAGGAAGCTTTATAGTTCCAGCAACTCAAGCTATCAGCCAATACGACTAACCGTCATGGCCAGAGGAGAAGACGAGGCCTCGTTTGCTAATTACAACAATACCACTGAATGACGCTGTACACAAACACGTTCATTTGCATTTCCAGGTTGCTGTTAAAGAGTCCTAGGTTCACAGTTTGTTAGAAATTATTCATGAAATGAGAATATGGCTTCTTTGGGAATTCTGAAGGAATTTTTGCGGCGAAAACTTCAAATGATGTTAAGCAATTGTTACCACGATAAACATTTAAAGCATATTTTTCAAAAGAAAGAAGGATTTATAATGAACTAAGGCCCTTTAACAACCACAATTAACCATTTTTGTCAGACATCAAAGTTGGCTATTAAAGTACACAAGATAACAAATATCTTCTGGGAAGATCTTTCTATTCTCTCTTCAACCTTCTTCTTATAATCCTTTTGAGATCAAAACCGTAAACAGTATTTTGAGATGTAAACCTTGGGCAGCAAATCATTTCAAAACATTCATATAACGTTTATGGAATTCTTTCAAAGCATCATCAATGACATAATTCCTCCCCGCCCACTCCTCGACGAACAGCCAACGAATGCAAATCAAATTTCTAATTCAGTTAAAAAAGTTGCTCGCTTATTGATCGATTTTTTTCTTAGCCTCTGCTGACTTCCTTGTTTTCGCACTTTGTCTTGATTTTGATTTCGTACCGGCGGATTTTAACTTTTCCTTACCAGAGGACGGCCTTTTTGATTTATCCTCGGTTTCGCCATTGCTAATAACCTCTCTCTCATCCAGAGAGCTAGAGCGGCTTACAGACTTCTCGCTGCCATCACTAATCATCCCCTTCTCGTCTTTGTTGTCATAATTTTTCTCCTTCTCAGAAGACTGCTCTCGCTCTTCATTGGACTTGCTAAGCATATCTTTCCATTTTGCCAGATTTTTTCTAAAAGAGCGTAAAAAAGTTAGAATAATGGCTGCGATGTGGGTTGCATCATCTTAACTGTAATGAAAACTTAGGCCAGAAGGATAAACCATTTCGGAACTTTTCATATTGCAAAACCTTCACAACACAAGAATTTGAAATTGCTTAACAAAAGAAGACAAAATAACGTTTTCAAAATAAAAAAAAACTTTAAAAGAAAAAAATAGAACATAGAACAGATCTTAAAAATTTCTACAGAAACCATGAAGAAAAACAATCTAACTAACCCCAACTTTTTGGATATAATTAGAAACAATTTTAATATATTCTTCATATCAATCTTTAACAAATGAATGATAAACTGCAGATAAAAAGAAATATTTCTTACTTAGCTCCGTCTACAAGAGGTTTACAACCAGGCATAATTCTAAACAGCAAATCGTAGCATGGAATGCATATCCCAACGAGAAAACCAATCTAAAAAAGATTGATTGTAAAGCACAATGCACTATTGGCATGAGACAGTATTGTTATAAGTTTCTAATGTAGATACAGCTCCATGATAAATGCGTTTATCAGGCAAGAAGCAACATTGTGAATATCTATATGAAGTAGTACGCGCTAGTGTGCAGAACAGGACAGTTACGTCTCAGTGTTTCTTGCTTAATGCAATTATCAGGGAATTAAATAGATATGTACATGAAATAGTACACTTTGATATGTAGAACAGGACGGTTCTAAATCGCAACAACGAGCTTCATGTTTAAAGCGTGAACTAGGCGTTACAATTTGGTACCGTCCTGTTCTACACACCAACGCGTACAACTTCCATGTAGTTACTCAAACATGTTCTTTGTTTCCTGATTTAGCATGAAACTCAGAACTCCAATTGTTGCTAAACATCAAACCGTGATAGGTTTCTGCATAAAAAATTGAGTCATGAACAACAATGATGCACGCAGCATTCCATAAACACAGAAATTTAACTGCATAGCCAAAACAAATTCATTTATCTACAAGTTGTGGACCAGACTCTTTGTTAACAGTCAGAAATGCCTCAATAAATTGTCAGATATCTGAAATTCGTGGTTTACACCATCAGTACTCGAGCGATAAACCATTGAGGTAAAATTCCGTTAACAAGAGTTAATCTGAAAGTGATTCCCGCGATTCGAAGTTTTAACTTGGTGATTCACGCATTTTATATAACTGATGAGAATCGTACGTTCATTGATTTAAAAGATTTAACTGTGTCTGCAAAAAGAGGATTGAACTTCAGTTGAAGAATTTTCTGACCTGATGTTGGGGTAGCTTGTCAGCCGTATTTCTGTCCATCATCGGAAGCGGAGTTCTCCCCAAAGCTTTCTCTTCGTCACCCTTGGAGTAAGATGATTAGGAAAAAAATAAATTTCCACTTCTGATTTTAAAACTGTTTTCGCCCTTACAGTTTATATTTAAATAAGTCAGGTTTGGTCTGGCTGTCAAATGGTCTATCTTTCAAAAACTCTGCAGAAGAAATGAAGGAAGCATGGAAAGAAGTAAGGAAAGGAAGAAAGGAAGAAAGGAAAAAAGGAAGAAAGGAAGAAAGGAAGAAAGGAAGGAAGGAAGGAAGGAAGGAAGGAAGGAAGGAAGGTAGGAAGGAAGGAAGGAAGGAAGGAAGGAAGGAAGGAAGGAAGGAAGGAAGGAAGGAAGGAAGGAAGGTAGGAAGGAAGGAAGGAAGGAAGGAAGAATGAAAGAAAGGAAGGATGGAAGGAAGGAAGGAAGGAAGGAAGGTAGGAAGGAAGGAAGGAAGGAAGGAAGGAAGAATGAAAGAAAGAAAGGAAGGAAGGAAGAAAGAAAGAAAGAAAGAAAGAAAGAAAGAAAGAAAAAAAAGGAAGGAAGGAAGGAAGGAAGGAAGGAAGGAAGGAAGGAAGGAAGGAAGGAAGGAAGGAAGGAAGGAAGGAAGGAAGGAAGGAAGGAAGGAAGGAAGGAAGGAAGAAAGGAAGGAAGGAAGGAAGGAAGGAAGGAAGGAAGGAAGGAAGGAAGGAAGGAAGGAAGGAAGGAAGGAAGGAAGGAAGGAAGGAATGCGAGACGATAGGGGGGTTGGAAGGAAAGAAGAAGGAAGGAAAGAAAGGAAGAAAGAAAAGGAGGACGGAGAGAGGGAAGATAGAAGGGAGGGATAACAGGAGAATAAAGAATTACGAACCTGCGCGTAAAATTCTTGGAAAATAACTTTGACTGTTTCATACTGAATTTGCCAAGGCTTTGCGCAAGCAGACAAATCCCCTCCAGTCATTGCGACAGCTCGAAGCAATTTCCTTTGAAGAGATGAAAATTGATTGTCTATTCATTACAAGTGTGATGATATTATTGGGAGAAGGTCTTAAAAAGATATAAAAACTGACTAGTTAATGAAAAAGTGTAGTAATGAATTGAATAGTAGAAAATGGATAGTTATTCACTCCAAGCTATAAAAATGGTTATCTTGTTACCGAGTGTCTTTTGTAAGTGAGTTAATCTGTAATTTGAGGTTAAAAGGAATGCCTTATCAAAGAAATTGTTACATGGTTTACATTTCTCAAGTAAATTTGTAAAGCTTCTATGTCTCATCAATAAGCTTTATGTCTACATCAGCAATTGAAGAAAATAAGCTATACATGAGTTGCCGATAATTTTTCCACCTCGAAAAAGTGGAGTTCAAATCAAAATTCTATTGCAAACATCCAGTTAGAGAACAAAAGCTCATTTCTTAACATTCTTTATGTAGAAGATCATGAAAAGAGAGTAAAATCATTAAAATGACTTAAAGAGGAAAGGGGGAAAAGCTTTGTGCACGACAAAGAGTCAAGCATAATATTCTGTGTTACAACGATTTCATCTTTAGCCACACAGCTGTGATTGAGTGCTAGTGCAAGCAGTTCAGAAATGTTCGTTATTTCTAGCCAATTTATATGGAACTTCAAATAATAGAGAGAATCGTGCCGAAAATGAAATAGGAAAACCTGATACGTGGTCAACTTCTACAACCAAAATTATCGACACTATCGTCCTCTCGATTCCATTGCTTCATTCCTTTTTACAAAGCAAGGAAATGATGGCCAGGGCCAAATTAGAACGATTAACTGCAGGTTTGATTCGAGTCCCGTTACGTAAAATGGTCTGGCTGCTCGCTTCATGTTTGCCCAGTGCTCAGCAGTAAATGGGTACCCAGTGCAATGGCAGCACATTAAAGGTAAAGACAGAGAAAAAGCTGGCCATCCTACCTCAAAATGCTGTTGGCCCTGGACAAATACCCTCTCTAATAGCCACTTAGCCTACGTATGAATCGAATCCGGGTCTCAACTTAAACTTCACGTAGTGTCACGTTATCATAGATACAATTAAAAGCAGCAAGTTCTAAAAATATCAAATTTACTTTTGTTTCTTTCAATTTAAACTGAGTTTGACACACTGAGTTAAACAGTTATTTTTGAAAGACGGAAGATGATTTTCTCCCCCCCCCCCTTCCTCCCCCTTCGCCATCATGTTAATAAGGGAGGGGATAGTGTGGGGGCATGCAGAGAAATTCGAGTCAAGCAATACATACAATAGGGATCAAGTGTTGAAGTTTATTCACCTGTGCATTTGATTATCAACTTGGAAACCCTCGTTTGATACAATTTCAGTCAAGCGAGCTTTGTTGCCAAAGAACGTCGCTAAATCGGTTGCTAAAATGCAGTCTTTAATGAACCCCAGCACCTGCTTGTACTCTGATGACGACAAGTGGCCGAAAATATTGTGGCCTTCGTGCTAAGAAAAGACATATATTCAAGTAAGCAAGATGTAGCCAATGCTATGTGAAGAAAGACGCTGAAAAAAGGCGCTTTAAGACACAAGATGGTTGTAAAACCAAGGTGTTTAAAAATGGTTTAATTGCTGTAATATTCTGGGACAACTGCTCACACGAAATCAAAAGTTGCTAAAAATTGGTACTCTAGTTGTTTCCGAGTTCTTCGTACAGCGCTTTAACGGAGTTAAATTTAGCAAATAAAAGTTGCGCTATTCGACTCATGAGAGCAACACAATAGATGCAAAAGCAATCCTCACTGGTTCATTGGGGACAATTATGCGAAGGGGGCGGGTGCAACGGAATAGCAGGTTAAAAGCATATACAGGGTGTTTCGTCCACAAAGGTGACAAATATTTATGGATTAGAAATAATTCATGTATTCGAAGAAAAATTTATGAGTAGTGACTTAAAGATCCCCTTTGTGAAAACTTCAAGTTCCCTAGCATTAAAAATTATAAATGCAAGAAAATTGTTTCAAGTAATAAAAATGAATAGTTGCAATAAGAAAGAAGAGTAGAAGAGATAATAAACAATTTGATGAAAATGATGGTAGTTGAATAATTCTTTGAAATAGAAAATAGTAAGCCAACAAAAATCTAGCTCCACGACCCACCTGCAGAATGGTAATAGTCTGATTAAAATGATGATGCTCTAAGGTAGATGTTGTGTAAACGGCCGCAAGAGGAGTTGCCTCATTCTTCATCCAGTCGTTGTTTTTACCTCTGTGATCAAGATCGTGACAAAGACATGCCACATACAAGGCAATCGCCTGCAAAGAAAAGGCCAGCATTAGAGGCAGAAGCAAACTCGAATGCCTGCAAATATAATTGCATATGGACTCTCAAAGATCAATTTAGAAGCTCCTGATCTGAGCGGAACTTAATAGATTGAGCGCTGTAATGTTGTGCAATTCGAACATGGGAATTATCGCAACATAAGAAATAGACTTCTAAATTTTGAGGCCTAGTAGGAAACCTAAACTACCTTACAAATGGTCAAGTGAAAGTACTATAACAGAATCCTGATTCAATGTCCTGAGAAATTACCTCCCCCCTTTAGACATAAAAGACTTTTTATCTTCTTCCTTGAACATTGTTCGAGAAAGCGCTCTTATTTTTAAGGTTTAATGAACTCCAGCTATGAATAACTACTTATCCGGTTCCCTTCAAGTTCGTTGTACCAAATTCAATTGTCTACCGAAAGATCCTTACTTCGAGGCCGGAAAGATGTCCTTCCGAGAACTTGATGCAGCAAAACATGCAGTGGGCGACATTAAACGCGTGAGTCCAGTTGTGATAAGGAACGCGCCGGTAGTTCTTGCGGACGGTCAGAATGAATCGGGAGACCACATCCATATCAAATCTATATTGATAAAAGAAACAATGCTATATGATAACAAGGGAAAAAGCAGAGTCGGATTAAGGTTGGTGCTACTGGTGCTGCAGTGTTAGGCCCATAAAATAGGCTCAAATAAAAACAAACGAGAATTTTCCTGAAGCAGAATAGGCACAGCATTAAGCTATGTTTGTGTTGCAGTTTCAGGCTTACTATGATCTCAATCTAGCACTAGATTAAACTAAAGACTTTAAGCAACAGATGAGGGTGGCACAAAACCAAGTATTCTAGAAAAGAAGGATTGTCTGAATGATGTTTCACGAGACTAGTCGTTAGCGGATGTTTTTATACGAAAGATATAAAAAAACTCAATATAAAAATACAATACTGGTGTTGTCTGCAGATAGAAAGGATTCAAAGTCTCCTAGTCGCAATGACAGTTAGATCTCAATTAGTCGACCAGAATTAAAAATATTATTTGTGCCATTAGCTAGCACGAATTTACAAGAAAACACTTTTACCTTTCTTCTCTAAACAGTTCGTCAAACATATTCACTGCTAAATGTGCCATTTGGATATCATCAAAATCATATGCATTGAAGCCAAACCTATAATAAAAAACATCGAAAAATCAAAATAGAACAAGGGTACTTTTCTGTTACAAATAATAGCAAGAGATGTACAGAATACCAGTATTGTCAGTTCCAGCCAGTATTTAAAAACCATCCAGTACACAATTTGGGTTAACAAGCATACTTCAGAAAGCACCTAAATGCGAGAAGTACATTTCGGGTAGGTTGCTGTAAATGCAATTTATATATCTTTTATGTTGGGAGGGGGGGGGGGCAACTTTATCACTCGATCTCCACGCAACTCTCTGTAATGACGTAAGGGTTTCAAGGAGGTTCCAGAACCATGCCTCTACCGCTTCAGTCCTTCAAAATTTTTACAGGTGAAAATAAATAAATGAATAAAGCTGTACCAAATTTGAAATCTTTTTCTTTTCAGAAATTTGCTTTTGATTGAAGTTATATAAATTATGAAAAGGCATAATTAGCCTCAGGTAATGAATTCAAAATCGCTATATTTCACATTTAATTCTAAATGTATTTGGATAAAACTTGATTCGGTATTTTATCGGCTAGGTAATCGAAAAATTGCTAGGAATCAACACTGGGATGCATTGCATAGTGGACGTTGCTGCAGGCAAAGGTAACTAGGCCAAACAACTAGTAGTTCCCTGAAAACACACGTAAGAGGCATCATTCACCCAAATCTGAATCCAATTATGTGAATATAAAACCAGCTATAAGGAAGCAATGTATGACGTCAACAGAAGTGAAGGACGCCAGTGCTCTCTCAATCCCCTGGGACAGAAATTAAGGAGATTCTTCATAAAGTAGCGATGTTTTTTAAGGAGGTATTTTGTTCATATGAGGGTCTAAAATAGGCTTTTCATGCGGTTAATATTTTGTTAGGTATTTAGTATTTGTCATATTAAAATAAACAGCATAATACATAAGATTATCAAGTAAATCAAGTTTAGAGAAAAAGTCTAACATTTTAGGAATTAGCAAGTTCTGACATTTGGTATTATATTTGGTTAAAGTCTCAGCCATTCCTTATATTCTCAAACAAGTCAATATGATATATTTAATGTCAATAATTTTTAAAAACTCACTTTTCAAGGGATGTGATTGAAATCTGAGGACCAACAGCAGCGCAATCTCTTAATTGAAATAAAAATGTATTAAATAGTAAAACCTGTTTAAATCGTTTCAAATGAAACATGTCATTGATATACTTCTAAAAAATACGAAATCGAGACAATGACATGAAACCGAGGCTGATAAACTAGGGATGGAAGGTCAGCCAAACTTGAGATAAATGATTATTCTAAAAATGGAAAAACAATTTTAGGGGAAAATTAGGAGTTTTGTTAGTGTTTTCCAGGCAGCGTCTGAACTTTCGAAAGCTTTTTGTGTCCGAAACTATTATAAAAAAATTTAGACAGGTTTTACTATCTCTTGCCTATATTCGCTGCAATTATTGGGGAAGCTTGTAAATTGTAATTCTATAAAGAGAGAAAGAAATTGTACTGCTATAATTTATACGTTTAGAGTGTGTAGTTTTTTAAGTCTTTTATTGACAGTATTGTTAATTGAATAAAATAGGACCCAATAATTGTGGACAGACGTCCCCCACCACCTATATCATCAGCACTACCATAATCTGACACCTTCAATCTTCTCTCTCAGGATACAGGAGCCATCTGCACATTATTTATTCGAAATTGTGCAACCGGGCGTTTTGAAAAGATGCTATTCTCAGAGTGCGTATATGTAAAAAAAACAATTAACAGATATCTTTTGAATCAGCAATTCGATATCCCATTTTAATATCCAAATAAAACCGATTCGAAAATGAAGACAAACAAATGAAGATCAGAAGCAAATGTTTATCATTTCCGTGCGTTCTAAGGTTGAAAAAGCTCTGCGCTTTTAATTGAAATTATTAAAGTAATTAGTTTTCTAGATTATCATTTGAAACTAACGCATCACTCCTGTTTACACGATGGAACGCATCACTTCTGTTTATACCTTAACACTTTTATTTAATTGAGGCTAATCTACATCTGCAAACTAGATTAGCAGAACAATATGTTACCTCTTCGACTAATAACTTAGTGTTATTGGCAAGTAGCATTTTAAGCCTTTAATGTTTTCTTTGACCTTTTTGTAATTTAAAATTTAGAACAACATGACAAATCTAAAGCTGAATATAAAAACAGTTCAGAACCTTGAGGAAAATAATTTTAAAACATACAAAAGAAGCTATAAATGTGTTAACTCATTTAACTGAGCTTAAAATATGTAGCAATTTGTTTGTCCGCCATATTGTGTTCACAATCCTACAGATGAGATATGTTTAAGAAAGCAACCTAAGTAAGGACATTTGACTCACAGCAACTTGAGTGATTCATAAATTTCTTCGATTTTCATAAATAACAGAAGTCACAGCTCAATTATAAAACAGGAATATAATATTGCTGATTACAACAGGAAGGAGAGTTGATTGAAGACAAAAATGCTCTCTTCCGTAGACAAGATTTCATGATTAACCAAACAAACCAAGTAGCCTTTATCAGTTGTTATTGATTGTCAATCAAAACTCAAAATACTTTATCTTTCACATGAAAAAGGCAGCCCTGTTTTTCTGCTCATGTATACTGCCTTTCAAGTTAAGTTCCATTAAAATCGATATTTTTCGTATCAACTAGCTAGGCAATTGCAAAAAAGGGGGTAGAATTCGAAGCGATATCTGCCTATCAAGACTATATAAGCCATGACAATGTATGAAAACATGGAACGGCGTCTGGGTTTGTTGAAATGGTGCCTCTTCAGCTCTTAAACGGTTTTGAAATTGTTTTATTTACCTTTATGTCACAGCTGAGATGCGGAATGAAGGCTCAGATTGGAGCAACGAATGACCAGGCACCATCAGCTGTATTCATTTCAAAGAATAGAAGTTGACGCTTTTGGATCCTATAACCCTACATTCTATCTCTTGCTTACAAAGACACTGCCATGATAGAAATAGAAATCCAAACTGAAACTTGGCTAATTATCCGATGAATGCTTTCGATCCCACAAGAACCCCTCTTAAAATATTTAATAAGATATTCATAGATAGTTCAAAATTCGCAAACCACCAAAAGCAGATGGAGTGTCACATTTTCATAAGCAATATTTGTCTATAGTTCATCAGATGAATGCGACATAACGTCATCCAGCTATTTTTCAAAGCCCTATGCAAGTGAATTACAAACAATCAATAAATAGACACACTGTAAATGTCATAGCTCAAATGGTGCCTTTATACACACTATACTGTATACGTCATAGCTCAAATGGTGCCTTTATACACACTACACTGTATATGTCATGGCTCAAATGGTGCCTTCATATCGAAGCTAAAGCAAACTGTCTCTACTTACTCGTATATCTTTGCATACGGCACACCAAGCGAGGTCTGTTTCATTTGGGTCATTTCTTGCTCGCTGCACATGCTGTGGTATGACAAAACTTCTAAAGCGACCTGAAAAGAAAAGGATAAACTTACAGCAGAGTCCCGCATAGAAGAATCAAAGGACATCTACAGACTTTTTTGACTGACCACATTGTTTCATTAAGAAAAAGTTTTAGCCTGACAAATTAAGAATACGTTATTTGAAAGGATACTGTCCCTAAAATTCAATATTGCCAAGAGACAACTATATTGTCATACATTGCAAACACAAGAGAATACACTTTTTGGATGAGCACCTATTGTAAGAACCTGTGACCCGGTAATTCCAATATCAAGCGTACTCTTGAAAAGTAAGTTCAATCTTTTGGGACTTCTTTAATATCTGATCAAATAGTGCTAACGCATTTCCTCGCGTATAAAATCACTCTGTCTGAAGGCACACACGCTAAGGTGGCAGAGGATAGGATCTGGGTATGAATAAAGGATGATATCTTTAAAAATATTGCATTAATACTATCACAGACTGCTATTACTTCAATAACCAAACAACAAATCATACTAATCTACAAATCACGATCTGAGACAACTAAGAGTCATGTGTCTCAAGGATAATTTTAAAGGTTGTGTTTCTTTGAAAGGGACTTTAATGAGCAGCTTTGTGGCAGTAAGCGACTTCAACCAGCAATATGACTCTATACTGAGCTACGTCATCAGCCAATTATTCATTCACGTAAAACAATCTTGAAGTGTGGATAATTAATCCCACAATAAAAGTTTTCACAAACCTTGTATTTCTGCTCAGACCTTCGAATCTTATCATATAGCTGAAAGCAAAAAGGGAAGCATAAAATTAATAACATGCTTGTAAAAATAGCAAGAATCAGATCTTCGGGAACTAACCAAAGTGGTTAACTCGTGGTACAGATATTTCTTGAGGTCTAAAGATAAAATCAGATCTTGTTATAGAATGAAACAAGAAAAGAAAAAAAAGCTACACGATCTCTTCTTTATCTCACTGCACTAACCAAATTGATTAAAAGATTTCATATTGATTAACACTTAATACCCAACAGCATATCAAAGACCTCTTATATCAGGCCTGGTATTTTTTGTATCAAATTGGAAGTAACAATGATAACAACTGACAGTACCTTTGCGTGATGCAATGCCAAGCCACAATAGACTGCGAAAGTTTGGAAGGCTTTTTCGTCTAGCGGTATAAAAAAAGTATAAGAACGAGATTAGTAAGTGGTGTTTAGTATAGAGATCAGTATAGCAATGGCGTTTGAGGACAAAAAGACAGTGAAGATGGGGACAACATACCTCCAGCTGTGAAGACTCCATTTCGCTTGTTGACCATCTGCACGACGCCAATAATACTGAAATGACGACATAAGACCAGAATTTACAACTGTTTCATACCGATTGTTAACATGGTAGCATTGCTTCACAAATAGCAACGAATTCTAAATAAAAGCTACAGGAAGAGAGGGGGAATTATTATCCGCAAAATCAAAGGATCCGAAGGGGATACTTGCTGCTCATTATTAGGACAAAAATATCATTACCCCTTGAAAATTTGCTTAATGTTAGCAAAAAATTATGATACACAACAGTCTGCAAGGCAAGTTGACGCAGATGATATATTGAATGTCTAAGGAGTGGGAAATCATTATATTAAAATCGATAGTTTGAAAAACAAACGCAGCCTTGTATAGGAAATAGATCAAAACATGTGCAGGCTTAAATTAAACAAATGAAATTGAAATAGAAAACCTCAGATTAAAGAAAGCTGCTCTTTTTAGAGTTAGGAATAAAGGTGTGATGGTGAAGGTTAGGAATAAAACTTGTATTGTGAGAATCCATACTTTCCACGAATAAAGATTGGCATGCAAAGCAAAGTCCTTGTAGTGTATCCAGTTTGAATGTCAACATCCCTAGGGAAAGAGAGAAACGATATCTTACACTATGCTGTAAATGGTAGAAAAATAATTTGGGTTTCACTGTATTGTGCTGAAGAAGCTTCTTAACTTTACTGGTTGACTTGAGAAAACAACCAGCAAGGGCTGGGACCGATATACCATTTAAAATTATCGTTATTTGTGTTCTACGATTTTTGGCAGTGACAGTATGATGAAAAGAAGAATACTTTTGAAACATTTGTAGAAAAAGAAAAGGGAAAAATATTTTGGATTCTATTTTTGTTTAGTAAATTGCAGGGAAGATAAATGTCAATAAAAATGAAGTGCAAAGACAATTGAATCTTTCAATACTGATATTGGGAGGATGTAAAAAATTGGTTTTTGATGTTATTCAGCGTAAGGACTGCTTGAATAATTTTCCACAGATAATTTTGAATGATATTTCACCGACAAATGCTTCAAAGTCAAAATGTCTAGAGCCGTTTTGAGATTCAAAGGAGACCTGTATATTAAATCAAAATACGTGAAATCATCATATGTAAAATTTATTCATATATGATTCTATTACGACTTTAGAATTTTTATATTCCCTTATAGAATGGCAAATGATGACGTCACAAAAACAAATTCTTAAAATCTTTTGCAGTGGACAATAAGACCTGAATGAGGAACATTAAAATCCTGTAGATATGCAAAATCAAGTAAATGTGAATCACAAATCGCCTTAGGAATAGCCACACGAACACAGGTTTTTTCCCTCATCAAATTGTTTTCACTGTGCCATTCTTTATCACCACTTACAAATATTCTCTAAAAAATATTGTTATTGACTTTATTTGAATGGCATAGCATACTGCAGACAAACCTGTTGAATCTAGCATCGTCGTAAGCATTAATTATGTTCAATGTTTCTCCGGTTGACGCCACGTGTCCAGCCACTCCTTTAGACTTGGGGAATCTAAACAAAAAAATTCAGAATTTTTGTTTACAACTCGTAGGCGTCTCGCAAGGTTGCATCAAGGAACCTGAGTCTATGATTCTTAGAGGAAATCTCATTTAACCGAGTGGTTTTTCTCGTAAAGCAAAATTCATGAAACGTTAAAAGCTAAATACAAGCGAATTTTCCTTATAAACAAAAGTGATGCAAAATTTCAATATGTAGACAAAAATTCTTAAAACCAGTTCGAATGATTAAGTCTAGCTCCTGTCTTTGTTGTCCCCTTTAATGTCGTACATTTAGATGTGTTTCGGTATTAAAAATGTTAGAGAAAGCGAATAGCTAGGTACAACAGTGATCAAATAACAGTGCCTCAGAAAGAGAACATACAACAAAGATTTATTAGAAGAAGAGGACTGAATAACAAAAAAACATACGAATTACGAAAATGAAATAGAATATCTTAAAACAGGTAAAACAAAGACTAGATAACATTCCGTCTGATCATAGCAAACTTTTAACTGCTAATTCCGTTTATAATCTACAGTATTTTCATCATTTTTTAAAGTTGTTTTGATTGATTTTCATTTCTTGCTAAAACTGAATTGTACGCAAGCTTTAAATTAGTTAAAATATAAACATGAACTGAAATCTTTGAATTCTTTGAATCTCTGAATAAATTGAACTAAAACTAAACAATTTAATATTCAGTTTAGAATCTCAAGCTTTATTGGCAAGCTAAAAGATAATCAGTTCACCATTTGAAAGCTTAAAGACTCATTGCTAACAATGGGCCTTTGCGTCCAAACAATGGCAGAAAACTTCTATAGATTAACCGAAAATGATTTCAGACTGTCTAAAAACGCATTATGGGATGCTTGCGTAGCGCAATGACTCATTGTTAGCAGTGAGTATTTAAATTGCAATTTCATGAAAAACAAATAAAAAAAATGACAAAGGTTACTGAGCATTCACCTGATTTCTTTTTGTAATTTTGTATCCAACCCAGTTCCAATATCAAAAATCCTGGCGTAAAGTTCGTTGGTTTTTGTGTCAACCAAAAACAAAGACGTGCGATCTGCATCTACCAAGGTTTGTGCGAAGTTCTGTGAATATGAATCAAAATCGAAAGATTGATTTAAACAAACCATGCAATGTTCAAAGGCTCAAAGTGACGAAAACTTAATAAAAATTTTCAGCAAACTTGCAGGGATTAATTTTTTATTCATCTTGAAAGTTCTATAAAACACATGATTTCATTTATCTGATATTAAGATATTCAAAGTCTAATAAAATAAGATAACAAATGCTTTGTGCTCTATTATATGAGAAAATTAAGGAAGTCGTAGGGCAATGGCTATCCTTCAAGGGCTAAGAGTGGATTTGCCCTCTTGAATTGAAACTTTGCTTAAAGTCTCACAGCTAGTTGCTTGTGGGCTACTTGCCCTATAATTAGACTTGATTGAGAATTGAAACAAGTGCCATTTTAGCTATCTATTCTAGCAACATTCAGACTTTACATAAATATCTAATTTATACATATCTAAATGTCAAAATTTGATCAACATACCATGATTTTCATAATCACAGTGTCCATGCTGACGATGTCTTGAAATATGGACCTGCAAATGGCAATTGCTGTCATGAAATTGATGCTTTTATCGGCAATATTATAGAAATTCAGCATTTTAGAAAGAAAACCTGTGCACACATGGAATGCGAATGAACATTTTGCTTCAGCAGCTTAAAAAGCTTTGGGAGATTTCTATGATATGAATAAACTAAATTTGGCTTTTTTTAATCTGCAACGTTTTAAAAAGCATGTGGTTCTTTTTAATCTGCAACGTTTCGTTTACGAATTAAACCAACTAAATGGGCACACGAATGGTATTAAAAGCAAACTGGTTTGTCTACACGCCTCCAGATTCACTGCAATATATGGTTCTCCGCTGAAAATACTGTCCTTCAAGCATGCGTCATTAAGGACGTGCGTCAGTGTTACGTCACTGGATAAGAAAATCTCCGGATTTGAGTGCCCACACAAAATCGGATTCGTTCTGAGCCGGAGCGCAGAATTGAAAAGTTACATCCACAAAGACGGACGGCAGATTAATCCACAAAGAAAAATGCACAGATTAAAATATGTACGTATACACAAGGACGCGTTTAGAGACAGCAGTGCGGGATAATGGAGAGCCTAACGCAAATGACAACTATATTCAGAAAACTTACTTTGTGACGTTTAAAAGAAATTCGTTCAGCTTTCTTTGTTTGTGCATTGTGTGATACATCTAAAACATATAAAGAAGAATTACGATGAAGGGAATGAAGAACAGTTTTTTTGGCGGTACAGAACTTGGAAATGGCTTTGAAAAAAAGAAACATTTCATAACAATTGGCTAAAAGCTTTTTATGAAGAACAACAAGGCAGGGTGGGCTGTGTCTGAGCAATTAGTTAGGGTTCTCATGTGGCAAGTTCGCAACTCTAGGAATATTACTCAATCAAAATATTCAAGAAGGTTATACAAAGAAAAACATTATGCTTTATCAACACAAGAAAATACATAAGTTTACCATCTAGTTCCTTCTCTATTTCATTCTTTCATAATTCATTCTTTCTTTCCCTATTTCATGCTTTCATATTTCATTCTTTCCTTCCCTAGTTCATGCTTTCATATTTCATTCTTTCCTTTCCAAACTTGAGCATAAGTTTAACAGTTGAGTTGACTAATAAATATTGTGCTACATTTGGAATAAGTATGAAACACAGAGCCCTAAGCCTTGAAGTCGCCGGTAGCTTTGAAGTAGAAAACCTCTCACATGTCAGTGCTGCAGGACCGCAAAATATTAGCATTACGAAATAGCTTCATTTCTCTAGTGAAAAGGTATGATATAAGATGAAAATTTTTCGATTTTTTATGGGGATTTGAAAAAGATATTTATATTGGAAAATTCAAAAAATTTTGAAAAGTTTTCTATATTGTGAGCGGATTTTCAACTGGTTGCAAAGCAAGAAAACCGCGTATGAAAGAATAATCCTACAAAGAACGTAGACAAATGAATCAGCAATTACGATTTTAACTAGGTTTATGGGGAGGTAAAATAGGGGAAATTGTGAATATTAAATCGACTCACCTCTGCATAGTACAGGACAATGCCTCCCCACGTAAGATAACTATTAACGATCTAAGTATAAGCAAAGTCAAAATTGTAAGAAATATGGTAAAATTTTCTGATGTAAAACAAAAAAATATTTAATCTCTGTTATAAATGGTCCAACACATCGGATGGATGGAATTATAACATTTCCATCCAACGGCAGTTAACATGTATATGGATTTCATATTTGTCTTCTGTTCGAAGTCTGGTGAATGTTTGAACAAAGAGAAACTTAAACTGGAGGAAAACAGCAACAAACTAATAAAACTTAAAACTCTTGATCAAAAATGATGATCGCAATAATATAACAAAAAATTATCATTTAATAATTATTATAAAACATGATTGATAATGAGTTGTTTTTATACGAAAAGTTAAATCGAAACCTGTTCATCTTTCTCTGTAAATGCAGGCATGCCGATTACTCGAATCAGTTCCATCACACCTGAAATGGCCATTAATGAAATATAAATAAAATATAAATAAACTTTATGACAAGAGATTACGATATGCTACGCAAGTTTATCAAAACCAGAAAAACTGTAAAGAGAAACTGAGAGCAAAACCGAATTTTGATGAAAATTTCAAACAAAACAAAGAAGAAGTATGTCCACAGTAGAACTGAAGGGTCTTCTTTCACCTCGCCACATTCTTCAAACGAATTGTGCAGTGTCAAGTTTTTCTCGTAGCTCGACAAAAGGTTTTCAAGAATTTCAACCTTTGATTTGTCCCCGTAAAGGAAAATGAAAAAGCCTGATAAAAACAGTCTTTGGGGCCGTTTTATGGAAAGATGTAATCTATCGTGGAATGAAGCTTTGCCCTCCCTTTCTTTCACTTACTAACTAAGAGGAACAAAATTTTGTATTCTAGAAGAAAATCGTGAAAATTCTCACAAGGCGGGGAAGCACATTTGGTAAAGACAAGCGAGACTTCTGATTCTAAACTCTGCGATTTGTTTTTTGATGTGTTATGTTTCGAAGGGAAATTATGATACAGAAAAGCATGACCAACAAGAATAAAAATAATACAGTGCTTCTATACATCTTTCATTTACAACTTAAGAAACTTAAAACACAGATTAAATGATTACTATTGTCATCAATCAGAAAGGTCTATCACCAGCCTATTCTAAAATCATCTTGTTGGCAATGAGTCAAATGATTCACAACTGAAGATGAACAAACTAGGGAAATATTTACATTGGGTAAACCGTGTCAATAATGCAAGTACTATTATCGATAAGGGCCCTGGTGTTATCAATAAGGGGCCTGTTTGAAAATTTAAGAACAAGTTTAACCTACAAAGAAAAGCCTAACAGTGTATAAATGATGTGATTGAAAAGGCTCTAGATTCGAGTCCTGGAGCAGCCGTAAAAATGGATCTTCATTTTCCGTCACAGTTAAGGATTGCTTAGGCACCAGGACAATTTCTTATCCTAACAAAAATAGAGTGTGGATGCAGCTTACACCGATTCAACTGGTACGGCTATATGCAACAAAATAAGCGTTTCTAGGAAAAATAAAACGGACGATGCAGAACGTAAATGTTACCAGTTGAAGGGCAAAAGCAGCTCTATCTATTCAAATTTTGATCAGACAAAAAGTTACCCGCAACAGGGCGAACAGAGTTATGGCCTTTGGTTCTCCAAAGATATATTGCGTAAACGTAATCTTTTTTATCCGTCTTTGAAGAACCAGGCAATATCTGCCATATTTCAGATTTAATTTGCATTAGGCCTCATCTCAAAAGCTGTGAAAGCGTGCAAATTTCCACGTCTGCTCAACACAGAGTCACTCAGTCTAAAGAATTTGCTTGAGAACTGGAAGCAGCACTTGTGAATTCCCTTAGGCCGGGTCGTTGATCTACTGTGATTAATAGGGTTGGTTCATCACAGCAGAGAAGTACTTAGAATTCGGTACTGACAAGGAAGACAAACCTGTGAGATCGCCAGATGGCTGAATAATTGGTTGGCAAAGCACCGAATATGAAGTCGTATCTGCAAAAGATTCGGATAATCATTAAATACGCCTGAAGACATGCAGCATTTTGTTGGGATGTGGAAAGTTTTTATCCGTAAGTTCAAAGATATCTATAAAGTTTCCCAGGTTCAAAGTTATCTATGAAGTTTCCCAGGTTCAAAGTTATCTATGAAGTTCCCAGGTTCAAAGTTATCTATGAAGTTCCCAGGTTCAAAGTTATCTATGAAGTTCCCTGGTTCAGGTTCAAAGTTATCTAGTGAAGTTTCCCAAGTTCAAGTTATTATGAAGTTTCCAGTTACAAGTTATCTATGAAAGTTCAGGTTCAAAAGTTATCTAGAAGTTCCAGGTTCAAGTTTCTTCTATGAAGTTTCCCAGGTTCAAGTTATCTATGAGTTCCCTGGTCTCAAGAGTTCTTATGGTTCCCAGGTTCAAAGTTATTATGAAGTTCCCTGGTCAAAGTTTCTAATGAAGTTCCTGGTTCAAAAGTTATCTATGGTTCCCAGTTCAAGTTATCTATGAATTCCCTGGTTCAAAGTTATATCTTATGATATTACCAGGTTCGAAAGTTAGTAATGAAGTTCCCCAGGTTCAAGAATATCATATGAAGTTTCCCAGGTTCAAGTTATCTTCATGAAGTTCCCAGGATCTCAAAGTTATCATATGAGTTTTCCAGGTTCAAAGTTTATCTATGAAGTTCCTCAGGTTCAAAGTTATCTAGTGAGTTCCCAGGTTCAAAAGTTATGTCTATGAAGTTCCCTGGGTTCAAAAGTGTTATGTATGAAGTTCCAGGTTCGAAAAGTATATCTATGAGTTCCCTGGTTAAAGTTATCCTATGCAAGTTCCCAGGTTCAAGTTATCTATGAAGTTTCCTGTAAAGTTTATCTATGAATTCCCAGGTTCAAAAGTTTCTATGAATGTTCCCAGGTTCAAAGATATCTAATGACAGTTTCCAGGTTCAAAGTTTATCGTTATGAAGTTCCAGGTTAAAGTTTATTATGAAGTTTCCCAGGTTTAAAGTTATCTATGAAGTTCCCAGGTTCAAAGATTATCTATGAAGTTCCAGGTTCAAAGTTACTATGAAGTTCCCGGAAGTTTCTATAAGTTCAGGTTCTTATTGAAGTTCCAGTTTCAAAGTTATCTATAAGGTTTCCCAGGTTCAAAGTTATTATGAGATTCTCCGGTTCACAGTTATCCGTATGGAGTTCAGAGGTTCATAATTTCTCAGTAGTTCCTGCCTTGAAGTTATCCAGGTAAGTTACTACTGCGTTTCCGGTAAAGTTTATCTATGAGATTCCCAGGTTCAAAGCTTAATCTATAAGTTCCCTGGTTATAGTTATCTATGAAAGTTCCCAGGTTCGAAGTTATCTAGAAGTTCCAGGTTCAAAGATATCTATGGAAGTTTTCCAGTTAAGTTTCTATGAAGTTCCCTGGTTCAATAGTTATCTATGATTCCCAGGTTCAAAGTTTTAGTCTATGAAGTTCCTGGTTCCAAATTACTATGAAGTTCCCTGGTAGTCAAAGTTATCTATGAGTTTCCAGGTTCAATAGTTTATCTATGAAGTTCCCAGGTTCAAAGTTATCTTTATGAAGTTCCAGGTTAACCGTTATCTATGGAAGTTTCCAGGTTAAGTTATTATGAAGTTCCCTGGTTCCAAAGTTAATTATGAATTCCAGGTTCAAGGAGTTCTTCTATGAGTTCCCCAGGTATCAAAGTTAATTCTATGAGTTTCTACCAGGTTTCAAAGTTATTATGAAAGTTCCCAGGTTCGAAAGCTATCTATGATACGTTTCCGCAGGTTATTCAAAGTTATCTATGAAGTTGCCCAGGTTCAAGTTATTCCGTTAGGTTCAAAGGTATCTATGAAGTCCGCCTGGTGAACACCAAAGAAACTTGCTAATCTGATTCAGAAGCGAAGAAATGTGACATTTCAAGAAAACCGTAACAAGGGGAACATTTTGCTAATTATGAACAATAGATACGGTTGAAACTAATTCTATAACTTCAAAATCAACATAGGTTTCTTACCCTGTATCCCGATGCCATTAGGAAATCTTTCATCCTGGAACGAAAGCAAGTCAAATAATATTCGCAGTTAAAAAGATACCCATACTAGCAAGCTAGAAGGTTTAAGATGAAAAGACAGGGGGGAGAGAATACAGTTAGAAAGACTAATTCGTGAATTTGCAAAAAATCAGCAACATAGTATGCAGTATGAGTGCGGTCTCATACTTAACCGTACCGAAAATCATTTTGCATTTGTGTGTCTGCTAGCATACCTACCCCAGTCAACCTCGTTGTTCTTATGGTTTCCTTTGTGCAGGCAACATAGCAAGCAATAGTTGATCCCTCAGTAATCAGCTGCATGTTAACGGGTTTGCTGAAGGAACAAAGATATTTCTAATAAAACATCTATAACAGAGGACCTTATTTCAAGAGGCAGCGTATCATAGATCTTGATGCGAGCCTCGTCAAGAAATGTCTGAAGAGGACAACAGGGTTGCTGGTTGTGGGAGAGGGACAGGGTGAAGACTAAAGACTGTGGCAGGGTTTGTTTGCTTGATTCATGATTAAAATTGTTTTGATGTATAAGAAATAATTTGACGAATAAAATGTTTGTATAGATATTCGAATAAATTCTGTACACGGCTGATGAAATGAGCGCCTTAGCATATGACAACGTGTAGCTTTTCTACTGCAAAGTGTTTGAGTTTTCTCTTATCACATTTTACTTTAACCCCTACTCAAGACTGGAGCATATTTCTAAGGACTTTATCGTAATTATTTTTATGCCTTACTGTACAGAGATTCCAATTTAAGAATAAATCAAATGCACCCAACTAGCAAAAGTGTTTATAAAAATGTTCTTGTTACCTGGGATGTTGCCCATATTTCCATAAATTCTGCAAATAAAAAAGGATTTTGAATCAGATGGCCGTTACGTTTCAGCGATATGAAAGCCTGGATAGACTCTGTTTGTATATTGGCACCAGTGTCCGCCAGGTTAATGTTGATGGATCTGCTACTATGATGGCTAGGCCCCAGTTTTAGACAAAGAGTAGGGCAATAAGAAGTTGTTCTATATATGCATGCCACCATATATGTATTTGGTTGTTTGCCTCAACAGTTATTTGGGTGTTTGCCAACGATTGTAACATAACTCACAAAGTAACGTGTTGGGTGTATAATTTAGTTGGCATTCAAACGATTATTTTGACAATGTATTCAAATTTCAACACATTGGCAAGTCTAGAGAGTTACTCCTCTAAGTCCCAGCAAATACGGCCTTAAAACTTACCACTTTAATTCTATCGAAAATGCACCAATCAAATGAAAATATCAAAAAACAACTAGTAAAAACTTTTTATTCAATTAGAAGGCCTTACTGACATTTAGAGAGCATCTGGGTAACATGGGAAATCGGAGAGGATTTGAAAAAACTTAATTCCTCTTTTGGAAACTATAATCAGGCGAGATGTCTGAAGAAAAAAGTTTATCAAATTCAGTTATTGTTTGTGCAGAAACGACTGTTAGATCAATATTTACAAGCAAAACTTATCATTTTAAGTGGAACCCTTGCGCTAAATCAGCACCTAAAATATGGCATTGACACGAAATGACAAATTGCAAGTACCTTATGATCACCATCAAGTAGATAAAGGACATGACTGTCTGCCTCAACAGCTGAAAGAGATACAAAACAAATCCGATTCAAATATATGCCACAGGAAAACAAATTCATTGTTAGTCCTCAAAATCGGCTTGAGGGATTCCATTCATGTTTTGGTTGACATTGATGAAGAAATATCTTATATACTCGAACTAATGCCGGACCTTGAATGAACGCCGGTCTCCAATAAAGGCCGGGCAAATTATCCCATTTTTCGGTAAATCAAAGGTGCAAATCTATGCTGATGGAGTTAAAACTTCCGGTACCTGCATACGGTACTCTTGTTTAACAAAGATTCTAAACACAAATAGCCTCATCAAATGGTGCTAGACCGATGGGAAGTATCAAAATGACAACTTTCTCTCCTTAGGCAAGTGTTCTGTTATGAAACGTAAATCTGCGTATGATAATTTTGAGTTTAAACTTAATATCCTATATTGCAAGGGAAGACTCGGTAATAACTTTTTGACTATCAATGTCGTAGTTCTTGTCATTAGAACTAGAAGTCACTTTCTTTGAGATAGAAGATTAAAATCACGAATCACAACAAATAAAATCACAACAAATAAAATCACAACATAAAATTGTGCTAAATCTTATCTTACCCGAGGCACACGAGTCCGCTAATTGACTAAGGATATTTCCTCTGACGTCACTGGTCGCACTGTGGACATCTGTTATAAAACCCTCCATGAAACTCTGTCGTTCTAGGCATGAGCAGTTCTGCAATAAATGAAATCGTGATGAAACAGAATTCTAGGACGTTATCAAAGGTGATTAAATACACCCTTCAGTATTACATTATAACAAAAAACATTGACTGTTCATGAAGAGGACAGACACAATGAAGCATAGAGATGCAGACGGAACGAGAAAAGTTTGACGGCCAATAAAAGCTGTGGTCAGTGATGTGATGGCTTAGACCTAATAGGCTTGGCCGAATGCATAACATTGGCAGAAGGGCGTGAACTCTGGTACGGGATGGTGAAGATCTGTGAGTGCCTTGATGGTCTGAGAGAACTTAAATTATTGCGACCTACAAGTCTTGCAAGTGCATTTGGTGTCGAACAAGGTGCCATTACACATAAAGCAAGGTTAGTGCATAGCTTAATATTGAGAATTTCAAAATAGGTATTATTGGTTGATAAAAAGTTGTAATACGCCTACAATAGTTTAAACTGAAGACTGAGATGCCTCTAATAGCCTCTAAAAGATAAAACATGAGATGAATAATCTTATAGCACTGTTCTATTCATGCTCAACGTACAAACAAGAGCCTCTTTACATGTTTGTCTAGAAGAAGCGTATATAGATCTCCATGATCAGATCAAGATAATTCTACTAACTCTAAAAGATTGAACAAGACGATAAAGATAACTCGAAAAAACGGTGATGCCAAGACACATCAAAGAGAAAAACAGACGGCTTTGCCGTAAAACATTTAGCGGTGATTAGGCATCGCTCTGGTTTATACAACACTTGACTTTTAACTTCACACCATATTAAGTTCACGTTTAACACGTAGGGATAATGCACAACCTTACTCTTTAATAGAGGCAAAAGGCATGAGTTTTTCTAAGTGGGTTAAGCATTATGCTTTCGAATCTCTAATGCAAGCTCAATTCGCAAATGATAGTATCAGCTACAGCTTTATCAGTTGAGTTAGTCTGGTGGATTATAAAAGGGAATAGTATGGAGTTTAGCTTTGTTTTGCCTTCACGTATCAGTATCTTCTTAAGAAAGTGGTATAAAGACCAAAAATGCTAAACTTAGGGAAACAGGCGGCCGCGGGATTAAGCAATGTAATTTCTGTGAAAGCAAAGCTCTGAAGAAACATAGAGACTGCAGCCACAGAGGCAGAGGTGAGGGAAAGAAAGTTCAAGAGAAGTTTGTGATTAACATTTGGTTATTTTCGAAGGAAAACCTTACATCAAATGTTAGGATACCTACAACTTTGTCACTGTTGAATGACTTTATAAAAGGTAAACTGCAAAGGTATGGCCATTGAGGCAAAAGGAAAAAAGTGAAAGAAATGTGCTTTGCGTTGGAATTAACAATAAAATATTGTTTCTGTTGGCTATTTGAAAAAACTGAGCTAAACAGGATATGGCTTGGTTCCAGATGAATTAAAAGAGTTGAATCAACTCGCCTACCTGCTCAACTTCTTGATTATCCAACGCAGTAGAAATTCGCTCGAGACTCTACGAATCTTCCATTGCAGCAAGAAAATTCGACGCGACTAACAGCAACAGAATTCGAAGCGTATGGAGAAGGGTAAATAGAATGGGGTATGGTGATCTCTTCAGAGCGTATTTACACAATATGCGGATCAGAAAGATTACAAAACTGCAAGAGCACACGACAAAAAGGTAATAAATAAGTTATGAGATGAAGGCAAATGTCTTGAGGTTACGACAGCGAGCTGTTGGCAAAGTGAGAGGCCACATGATTACAAACAACAGTTCATAAGGTGCATATTCAGGCCAGTAACTACGAAACGTGCAATTTTTCAACAAATCTTAAAGGAAGTCACGAGTTATAAGTGCGTCACTGATAATTAAACTTAGAATCAAACCACAGATATTTGAGAAGAAAGTTAAGCATAAATGTTTACGAATCAGTGATTTAATAAAAGTGACTGGCTGACGCTGGGCATTTTCAAAGAGAACTTCTCATGACAACATGCAACTGGTGATTCGTTGAATCTTAAGGTCATTTCAAGATGTGGAAGAAAAGTGGAACATTTTGTGAAAAAAGGTGGAATATTTCGGTGAAGAAACGTGGAATGCTTTTTAAAGAAAATATTGAATCTTGATCTAAGAAACCTCCATGCAGTGCTCTAAACATTGCAAAAGTCGTCTACATAAACAATTCTACGCTTCTTTGTAAGGAGCAAATTTCTTCAGGATCCTGTTCTCGGGTAAGTATAAACTTTCTGAGACTTCCGCCCCGACTTGCAGCCTTCAGATTTGGCAATGAAATTGAATTGAAATTGAATGGTTCTTCTCTAACTGTAGCTTCACATAAGACGCACCTCGCGCTGAGTGGGTCGGAACAATTGCTGGGGCAGAAATGCTTGCGTACCAGTGCAAGATTATCGTTACGTGGTGACACTACTTTTATAAGCTGGAAGGCCACAGATTTTAGAATGGTGTTACACATAATAAGTGAATGTGGCAGCATAGAATTCGATTTCGAATTAAGCTGTGATATGTGCAAATTGAAAAGAGATGTGCAATATTTGCGTGCGATATTTGTGGTATTTCGTGTATGCAGTATCATTGGCAGAAGTATGATACTGAGCACAGTAAAATGTTTGTGCAATAATAAGGCCTGGTTCAAACGTCGCACTTCTCATGTGCCGAACCTAACTCGAGAATTAAGTACATGAGGGGCGCGACGTTTGAATCAATCTGGTAAGGCAGATTTAGTTAGGAGCAGCAAACTAGTTTGGATCGAGTAGAAAAATGACGAGTTATCAAAACATTATCCTGTCTGTTGTCAATGAGTTCATTACTCTTGATGATCTTCCGAAAGCAGCAAAGATATAATCTACGCTTTATCCTTACATATACGTAGTCGAGGTGTGCAATTTACAAGACGAACTTTTTCCATCTACAAAATTTTGTTTATCCCTCATTAATAGCTGGAATCAAATGATTCGTACTGAAAAATATATCTGGGGAGGCCTAAAGAAACTTTAGGAGAATGAAAGTATAATACTTCCGATTGAATAAATGTATTTACAACAGACTAATGAATTTTTAAAGAAACAGTTGACAAGGAGCTAGACAGTGAATTAGAGTCACGTGACTTGTGGGAATCGAGGCACGAAAGCTCTGCTGACGACAGATTTAACCAAGCTGGTTGCAAATGCTTCAACAGTTACAGCTAACTGAAAACAAGGTTTTTACAACAAAACATCGCCATGGCTTTGAAAGACAAATAGCATGCTGCTTTAGAGGAAGAAAGTTTCGCGGGAGGAAATTTCGCTAATTGAGAACAAGCGCCAGATTTTTATAATCAACTTGCGCGGAAAAAGTGAAATGAAATTTTTGCGAGACAAATTTACTTTGAACTGAGGTTTCCTTCTATTTTTATTCCACTTCATACCAACAAAACAATGAAGACAATATCAGAATTCATTAACAACAATTTTTTGCCATCAAAGTTTCCAAAAGGATCAATAGCAAAGTTCTTTGGGTATTTCCCGATAATATAACTTCGCGAATTTCGACTTTCGTGAATTTTGGCTAAATACGCGAAAAAATCTCCCCGCCAATCTTCCCTTAAAGTTGCAATTATCAATGAAAAGACCATCAGAATTAACAATCAGATGCGGTAAAGACCATAAGATTAGGGCTGCTTTAGAGATTTCGATAGGGCTGCTATTTAAGATGGTTCGGCGCTAGATCTTTTACACACTTAAAGGTTAACATGAGTATTCTGTACTCTATCCTGCTTGTAATTGGCAACGAATGAAGGCTCTTCAATACTGGTGTTATGTGACAAAAATCATAAAAATGGGCCATTGAGAACACTTCATAGACATACTTAATGATCATATGTACCATTAATAGCAAAAAGAGATCGAGGCTGGTGCCGTGGTGTAAAGACCCTCTACAAATTCTATCTTTGCATTGCTTGATAAATACTTAGCATGCACCAACGAGGGATAAGGACAAGTTTGGCATGAAAATGCCTAACAATTAGATGCAATTTCATGTGACAGGGCTATAACAGGACAACAATGCGAGGCTCAGCTTAAGTCGGAGGTTTATAGAAGATACATACTGAACAACAATATTTACAAAATGGATTATGGAAGCTAATTTTCATTCTGGAGACAGCAAGCAAACAACAAGCGGTAGATTTATCATTTGAAGTAACTTTCGGATTAACGAGAGCTCATTCTGCCATATGTCTTATTGCAGTCGAATATCCTCCATTATGGTCAGTTTAAGAACACTTGCAATAAATCAAAACAGCTATGACACGTTAAGTATACCATGAGGTAAGAGAAGTATGGATTAACTATACTCACGAAGAAGGAGTATAAGAAAACAACACGTGCATAAATGTTAATCAAATTTTGCGCAAGTATAAGCGGCAAAAGCAAAGTCTGTGTTTGTTTTAAGAAATGCTTGCGTTGGAAGAATAAGCCGTGATATCAGCACGTCACTTGCATTCCAGCCCTTATCTTGTTCTCGCAGCATAAGGCTGTTTATTATGATCAAAATTATGAATGTGATTCTACTAATGATTCTTATTGATCAAGTGCTTTTAAATTTTTTACTGGCATACCTATGTTGAAATGTAATGCTATACAATATTACACTGATGATTGAATCGATTATAGTGATAGAGAGATCATGATTCGAATCGTTGTATGCAGTCAAGAGAAATATTGAGTGATCAGTATAACCATTGCAATAAAAAAGACAACCCTAACTACGATCAACATAATCATCATAACTATGGTTATGCTATGAGAACCAACTTAGCATAAAAGATAAACTACAAGTTTCTTCTAATTTCATGCATGGAAAACTAAAGTAGGGGCGAAATTGAAATCAAGAGCCTTATTTCACTACATATTGGCAAGAGTGAACCTCTAGCTTCAAAAAAAGTGTGGGAAAATTAGGTAACCCAAAAGAGTAGCGCATAAATTTATAAGTTAAATCGTACAAAGCAGTACAAGTCTATAAAAAATATGCATTATATAAGAGAATAGGGGCAAAATTATAGAATAAATGTTGAAAATTAGGGGCAATATGAGTGCGAGCGCGTACCTTTTCATCGTTTACTCTAACCTGCGGATTCTTGAAGCTCATGACAGCCATGGACTGCAAGACTACTCATAGGCAACAGGTTTAATTGTACAGGTGTATTGCAAACTGGCAGAAATGGCCAAGCAACTGCAGGTGAAAACTTCAAATAATCGATCTTACGGTGTAAAAGTACTCCTTGAGTCCTTTGGTGAGTTGAACGCAACTAAAGCCAAAGATGCGGACAGTGAAAGCAATTTGCGCAACTGCCTTGGCCTTTAAACGGACCTGCCAATTCAGTGGAGCAGCGCTCAATATTTCACGATAAGGCAAATATGAGCAGGTGGGAGAATGGACATGAGAAGATCGCACAGAAACAGATGTTGCCATTATCTGCTTAAGGGTTTTGGAAACCACCGGCGTGCTGGAAAAACCGGGACCGCCCAAACAAATCGACGAGGAATAAAGATGCCGGGGAATTACGTCATCGGGGGCAGCTGGGTATTCTCCTGTGCAGTAGTATAGCAAGGTTGGACGAAATTGAGAATAATAGAAAGCTTTTGCCGTCAGCAACGCTTATTAATATGGCAGCCGCTTTTGACAGAGCCGGGATGACAAATTCCTCTGCTCGTCCTCAGTCGGGATATTTCAGGTCGATTCTCATTTGCTGAATATCGCAAACATCGACTACGTCACACAATATTGTTCATACCATTTTCATAGCCAATTGAAGAAGTAAAAAATAGACTGGAAAAGCTGTTCAAAAACAATATTGGGTACAATTGGAAACAGATCGGGTATAATTGCTAAAGCAATGAAAATAGATCGCTAAAATAGGACAATTTTTGTCATCAAAGTGACGTCAAAGTTGCTTAGTTTATAGCATATAGCTCTATGACGTCATAGTTGCTTAGTTTATAGCTTTAATAAATGCGCATTTGAAGGAGGGCATAGGAGAAAGCACCCATAGTCAAAGAAGTTGCGTTGAGATGTGTGAGAGATGGACTGTTTAATATAAACAAGTACGAAAAATCTTTTATCAGATTGGCAAAATAATATTTTACTGGATAGCGAGCTAATTCGCTCATCGAGGCCTTGAAATAGTATCGAAAACAAGACCACTAAATATGAAAAAAGATTAAATGAAATAAATGCCACTCACTGCAATACTTCAACAAAGACAAGTAATTAGGAACGGGAGTATTTTGTAAGCAGCTTAAGCCCAGTTCAGCGAAAGTGAGAGTTATAACTGACATAAGCTCGTGGTCCGTTGAATAGAGCAGCTCGTGGTCTGTTGAATAGAGCAGCTAGTGATGTTATACACCAAACACAAGCTTAGATGAAGTATTTGTGAATCTGAACTTCAGTTGAGCAGTACATTAAGATACTGATATCCGAACAGAAATACAGAAAACAAGCAAAGGCGATTCAATGTCCCCCGAAAGTGACGTTTCAGAACACAGCCAGATATCAATGCAGAGCTTTGGACTGCAACAATGATCTGATCTTGAGGAAAGTCGGAATTAAAGACCATCGCTGAACACCTGGAATGGACTGTAACTTCATCGAGGGAGGGAAAGTCGGAATTAAAGACCATCGCTTGAAATGGACTGAAACTTTATCGAGGGAGAGAAAGTCGGGATTAAAGACCATCGCTGAACGTTTGAAATGGACTGAAACTTCATCGAGGGAGAGAAAGTCGGGAATAAAGACCATCGCTGAACGCTAGAAATGGACTGTAACTTCATCGAGCGAGGGAAAGGCGGGATTAAAGGCCAGAGCTAAACGTTTGAAATTAAGTGTAACTTCATTGACAGGGAAAATCGGCTTGCAAAAAGATAGATCTTGTAGACAATCTGTACAAAGACGTGAACAGAGCAAATAGTATGATATGGTATAGGATGACCAATTGCTTTCGTGGCTGAGTTTTGTTTTTGAGTGTGGCCGACCCATATGCTGTTGAATGGATATGTGGCGAGTCTACAGGCACAAGCAGGGATTTTCAAGACCTTTTGCCACTTTACTACTACATAAAAAACGCCAGGAAATACAAATATATTGAAAGAAAAGTAAGGCAAGCCAAAATCTTTCTCAAAAAATGGCAGAGCCGTACATTAAGATAAGCTATGCAGCGAAGGGTAAAATTAAAAATACAAAAATGAAATAATCAAGAATAATTTAAAAAATGTTTTTGCAGTGGTAGCTGTAATAAATTAAAAAGCAACCAGTAGCACTGAAGCTCTTAGTTTTTGTCAAGGCCAATTAGTATATCTTGTCACAGACTACTTCCAAAAATATGTGATAAAATGTGAACATGTTATAAGCAAAGAGCATCGGTTAAATAAATCAAAACCAAGTAAGAAATTGCTGAGTTAAAATTTAATTGCAAAAACAGAGGGAATTTCTTGGCCTTGTGTTTACAGATGAGCTTGGTTGTTGATTCGTTGTTCTAATCGTAAATATAAAGATATGAAAAAGCAAAAATAATGTGAAAATGCAGGTACCTTCCACTTTGATGATGGCATCAACCCATGCACTAAAAGGGAATATGCATAAATCGTTAATTAAGATTAGGGATTCAAAATAAAAAGACGGCAGACTATGTAAACAAAGTAATTGTTGGAGCTTATTTCTGATTGGCTGTGTGCAGCCCCTACAGTTGAGAACAAACTGAATCTTTTGACAATGTGTATTGATAATCATTATAACAATTATTATTGACTCTGATGATTGATCATGACAACGATGATTGATGAAGATGATTGAGATGATTGATCATGAGAACGATGATTGATATTTGATAAGTGATCACGGTCACAATGATTGATTGTGATTGTTGATGATGACTGATGATCAAGATCACGATCATTGTTTTTAATGATAGATGATCGATCATGATCATGTTGATTGATTATGACTCAAGAAAATCGCAACAATAACTGCTTCGAATAAAACTCTAGCAATGTGTTAAGCAAAGGCCTGTAAGTCGATAAATAAAACGGCAGGTAGCATTATTCACGAAGCCTTAAAAACGGCAACATGAACAAAATTGCGAAATTGGCAATAAATTTGAATGAACCATCTGCTGCAATTTTTTCATCAGTTGTTACAAAAAGACAAACAAATTCCGCGAAAAAAGAAACTAAAACGTGACGGGACGGGCATCGTAAATGCAATTGCTGAATACTAATACATGTGAAACAAAAACTCTTTATAGTCTTCCTTATTTATTTCCAATATATCCCGTTTTAAGGCAGCTGCTTGAAAATCTCTAATGAAATTTATAAGAGAAATTGGCCGGTTTCTACTTATGATGCCGCTAGTTGCAGCTGTTTTTGGCCATGCCAGGCAGAAATCATCGCTTCTAAAGGCTGTAAACATTTATTGGCAGGTCACTGGTTTTTCAAAAGCATTTTCAATAACATTATTTTGCTTTTATCAAAGGATGGCAAGTAACGAAGTGGAGGGCAAGGAAGTTTCTATTAAAAAGAAACATTTCTCGATTGTCGTAACCTGAATCAGCAGAATTGTCCATATGCTGTATTTGGCCTACTGAAAATTTATGGAAAGCTAGAGACTTTATTTCTTTGACTTCTTCTTAACATTATACATGTCCGACTCATGTTCGACCAATGTAAATTCCGGGCTGCCCTTGTTAAGTTTGATATCTATTTGCATTTCTTGGCAAAAATAGACGCACCTAGGCAAAATAGACTAAATATCAGGGGCTCCAGTCTGTGTTTTAGTTTCACTGTTAATCGTCCAGTTCACTATTTCTCGATTAATCGTCACTACAACTTTCGCTATTAATCTGTTGATTGCGTCCAGCTTATGCAGTCATACACTATGCAGTTATAAAGTAACTATGCTTCAGTAACGCCTGACGTCACCTCATACTTATCTTCCATCTCTTTAATAATGCGTATTATCGTCACTCGTTTAAACATGATATCGATAAAGTGGCAAATTGGTGACGTCATATAAATGTACTTCTAGTACTTTGAAAAATCAAGCAATTTGAATGGAGAAAAGACGGTTGAATACCATCAAATGTACAATAACTGTTAAAACTGTTGCCAATTGGCTGGGAGAAGGTCAGCGAATCAAAAATTACTAAAAACAGGTTTTATGGTGTCATAACTTTGTCTTTTTATTATTTCTTTAATCATTACATTATCACCATTCTATAAAGTAGAATTGATGTCTTTCTTTGCTACGTGAAAAAGAAAGCTTATAAACGGAAGCAACATTTTTCGATATAATGTGTATTTTCACACTTTCTTGCTAAACATATTCATGCAAATGTTTTTGCTAACATTCTTTCTAGCAAGAAAGGAATCATTTTTCAAAGGAATACCGTCTGTAAGCAGTGCGAGTGATGTTAACTCTTTTTATGAGAATAAAAAGCGTCCCGGCTCAGGCTTACTAAATCTTCAAGGATATTGTAAGCATATTGCCCAGCGCCAGCTTGCATATTTAAAACACTTTGGTGTTGGTTAAAACTTTGAAATTATTAAAAACATTCCTTTTATTACAAGTTCCCCGTAATTACATATAGTTTCGTTTTGCTTGGCTCCTCTGAAACTATATTAGATTAGATATGAACAAAGTAAGAACACATTGAATAAAACATTCAGGCTCAAAAGGAAAATATATTAAAAATACCCAGGCCTGTAAAATTTATATTCGTTTAATAAGATGTTAAAGCAAGATAATTTCTAAGAGCATGGCTTGGAGCACTGAGCCATTTTGAGTAAAAAACGGCATTTCATGCCTACAATCTATTACAATGTTTGATGCAAATTTTTTCTGTGCTGTGGTCTATTGTGTTATAGGTTTGGATTATGTCGTTTGATTAAAACATCGCTGGAAAAAAATAGACTCTAGGGCATGAAATTTGAACCGGAACGTGTAAAAGATTGTAAAAGATTGGATAATGTGAGGCTGACGTCATTACAACCTTCGAACACTAAGAGTTGCTAAGCACAATTTGAAACACTTTGGTTACAAACAAGGTTAATTTAAAAACCATACCGCAAAGAAAAGCATTGGAACTTTATGGTTTCGAAATCGTGTACAAGAAGAGAACCTGGGAGCGAGGATTGTTGTAACCATGACGATGAAAATTTATGCAACTATCGTGAAAAAACCTGCAGGCAGTTGGAAAACCGTGACCTTTTTTCACACATTGTGCTTAACACTTGCTGGTCAAAATACATCTGATGGAAGCAAAATACACAATTACAACGTGAGAAACTAACAAGTCTCCTACCATTTTTTAAACTAACTAAAAAAACAAAGCCAAGGGAACAGGTTTATGGCCTAGACATAATTTGATGTAACACTATGAGCACCTTATGTAAAACACCTAACGGTAGATATTTTTTCTAATCAAGAAAAACATCCTCAAGAAAACTTAAATTTTCGACATTCTTCGAAATTTTTTGTCACGGGGTTTTCAGAAGCGAGTTATTGGGAAAATTGTGCACATAATGATATAGAGGGACATATTAAGAAAAAGATTTAATCTAGGCCTTGATTACTTAGATCATCGTAACAAATAAGGACAAAGAGTTCAACGACGGCAGCAGTATGTACTAGAAAAAATGTTTTAATGCAAAGAAACACGAGGAGCAAGTCTTGAAAGTTTGATAATCAACAATGAGCAATAATGTCAAGAATTCAAAGTCGACAAAAATGCATATTGATAATGTATAAACACAGCTGATTTCAAGGCTACTGCTGGAACTACCATCTTAGTTGCATACTGTTTTATTTGTGGCTCGGCAGAAATTACTGGTATAAAAATAAGTATATTTAGAAAGAAATTCATTTCTGAATAGCCATCTCCCCTTATACAGGCATGCATATGCACACTTGCTGAGCACCCAATCCCTATATAAATGTCGCTTTCTTTTGCTTTAAGTTGACACTAACGAGCAGAACCAAAACATTCCGTTGACATCGTTAGAAAGATCCCATTCCTTAAGATATTTATATACGAAACAGAGATGGCAGGACAATCGAGACACGATAAGACAGGGTAAAAATCTAGCATTATATACTCACCAAAGAAAAAGTACTTTTTAAGAAAAAGTATGGCCAATGCAGAGAAGGCATGTTTGAATTTAATATGAGCGAACCAAGTCAAGGCAAGTTCTTCTCCAAATCTCTTAAACTTGGCAACGGCGTGGTCAGAGCAGATGCTTCCTGAAAATTTGCTTTTAAGTGATTTCAAAGACAATGGCTTCGCAAAACGCTGGCAGGTGTTAAGCGGCAAACGAAACACGTACTGTTGCCAGAATTTTTTACGTTATGCAGTATATTAGTAGAAATGAACGACTCGAAAACGGGGTTACATAACGAATATTTGCGATTCATATTTGGTTTATAAACAACAAGGCCATGTATGCAGATACCCCCGGATTTCACAAATTGCAGCTCTTGTCTTCTTTAAACCTCTTCTTTTTTGTCATTGCAGAGCTTAATAAAACCCATAGGTATCAAAGGCCATTGTTTGGTAAAGCAAGTGTGAAGGTGTCAAGGAATTCCCCCTGCAAAGCAAGCCTTCTTTT